TTACTATGTGATAATTAAATATGTATTAGAAAAATCTAAATTCAGAGTGTTTTCAATAAAACTTATGTGCTAATTCTATATTTACGCAATACGTAGGTATTTTCTATTTATTTTTAACATATCCTGGAATCAATAGGGTCTCAAATGGGCCGTGTTATCACAATAGAAATGAAGAAAGTTTGATATATATTTGAACCTTTGTAATAAATGTTATCCGTTTTTATTATCTGATATTATAGTTTAGTAGACTCCTAAAAGTTTTAAAAAGTGAAAATTTTATCTCAATAATGGCGTTAAACTTTTACAAATGGAGTTTCGTGAACTTTAATAGATTTTTGATAATCTGAACAAATGAATACAAATTAAATATGAATTATAATTCATCCTTTTTTTATTCTAATATTGGTCAATAATTACATTCCTGTGTCCTTCTGACATGGAACAACTGAAACTAGAAAAGCCATATGGACTGAGGAAAACAAAATTCAATATCTAAGAGACAACCACCTAGACAATAAGCTTGACATTAACGAAGCTATAAAATTTTCTAAAATTACAAAAATTAAGTACCACACAAATTAATAAATAAATAAATAGTCAATAATTAATCACAATTCACATAAAAGGATCTAGATATAAATAAAAATGTAAGCACTTCAATTACAAAACGTAGTGTAAATCCAACCTCATTCGTTATTAGGATTAACAACAAACACTAATTGATCAATACTAAATATTGAGAGTCTCCAATTAAGAGAAAATAACTATATATCAGTGCTCGAGTATAAATACAACCTAACACCTTTTTTTTAAACTTAATAATATCAAGAGACAAACTGCCAAAATAGTATATGATTGAAATACTAAGATTATATAATGAATATATCAGACTGGTTAACACCACAGGAGTTTCTATGCGACACCATACTTATAACTATGGTAGGAACCACCGTCACAAGTGGGGTAGTTAAGTAACAATATTTCTATCTGGTTCACGTTTTCAATTTATATGTAAATAAGCGACAAATGGGCTGGAATAGCTTCTGTTAGTACTACGATGATAAGTTGACTTATATTGTTCTTATAACTACTTTATTTCCTTATATCTTTATATTTATTTTTGTTAGTGCATCTAATATTGTCATGTCATTTTCATTTTTTCATTTAGGATAAGTGCCTTCACACCTTCAATTTTTTATGCTCACCAATAATTTTAATTAAATTGTCCCCCTATATGATATCTATAATTTTGTTACTGCCGAATGTGGAACTATTGATGGATATACACCTCAATCTTCTCGACGTCGTTCGAAGAATTATCTCGAAATACGGGATTGTGTCGTATGGGTTAAGAACATTTAATGAAGTGCATGTGAAGACCAATCGGTATCATTTGTAGAAGTTTAAAAATGGATTGGTGGACCTCTAATCAAATTATATGGAAACACACACTCCGATTTATAAAAAGTGTTTCTTTCATTGTGTTATATGATTTTGTATCCGCTGTTGTGAACCAAATAATCAAATTCCATATTGATTCACCTCCACTCTTCTCTCTTCTCGATTTCTCCCTGTAGAGGCTGTTTTCGTCTCGCGTCTCATGTCTCGAGACTCTCTGTCTCGTCAGTTATCCTACTTAATACAGTTTGCGAACTAGAGCTAGAAGCTTGATCTGAGTCACTTACCCGTTGCTTGTCTCGAGCACTAGTGATCCGAGAAGTTTAAAGGTAAAGTGGTATCGCTCGCTGTGTGAACTGCGGTGTGTCACAATAAAGTCGCATACAAGAAGAGAGAAACATGATTATGAAGTATGCAGCATGCGTGTTAAGAAAAAATAAAAAGAAGTAGCACTAGTGATGACTAGGAACGATGTGAACTGAATGTATAATTTTGCGTCCCGTTTGAGCCATAATGACCTTCTATACGCGCCGAAACTCACAATACAATACCCACCATGCGCCATATCTCTTTTAGTTGCCTTTAGTTCTAATGTATACGCAAACAACCTGTAATGCAAAACTAACTGTGGGGGTTACTATTAAGGGAATGTATAGAAACACGAAGGACCATAACCATACGAGAGAGTCCAACAAGAGCCACGGCCTGTCCGATTTTGCAACTTATTCATTCAATCAAGAATATAGAGAGGTACACCCGTCTATGCTTAGTTGGGTCACTTAAACCATCGAGAGTTATAAATACTTTGCTTTCACCGACTTCTAAGACCAGACATCCGATACGGTGCATGGCTCTGGGAAAGCAGCTAGAGCTGTGTTATCATAATATGTCGATATATCCGAGGTTCCCCAACATGTTCTGATCGGCGCTCACTATTTCCTTGACATAATCCAGAATAGACCTTCTAAACTTACGTACTTTAAGCTCTATTGCCAACTGTAAAATGCTCAGTAAAGACTCAGTAACCTTCAGCATCATCTTCTGACAATGCCTCTCCAATTCTTCGGAATAAACGCAACAAATTCTCGAAAAAATGGGAAAAATACCGAAGGAGGAGGACTAAAAGTAATCTTCTCGAATACGTGTATCACGAGACTGCCGGATAGAGTGTCCAGGACGCGGTCGCTCACGGAACTCCACCCCGAGTAGGTACCGAGAACAAGGGGATAAATTACGTCAGGTTTAGTTCTGAAGTGAACCGACGTTTGACCTGTATCGTGCACCTTTTATAGCTCAACAATATTCCCTGACAAGACTTGCCATGCGCGGTGGCGACCGCGCGTATTAGTAGCTACACGTGCACTCTCGGTCGGTCGACGTTGAAGGTATCGCAAAGTGATCATATAAAATAAAACTGCGAGTAATACGTCTATTATCCTGAAGTCATAGTGTAGCGTCTATTCACTGTGGTATATAGGTCAAGAAGCTTCGCCGTATACCACAGTGGGCATTCTTTTGATGCTTCATTGGATCCGAGAAGACTATTCAGTTAGTGATTATGGACAAATTATGTGGCATAAGATTAAAGCACTTTGAGAAAATATTGTGACGGTCTTTATAGGTTAATTTTCGCATAAATACACGTTGACTTTACCCCTCGCTAAAAGAGGAAGTAGCAAGTATGATCTAATCTCAATGAACCGTATTATGAGTGGGTCAGCATGACCCGTCGACATATTCGAAAGTGTGGGAAAGCACCTTCTTTTGGTTTTCAAAACTACTAAACAAGTTAATAACTCTTAAGAGCGCTGTTTATAGGTTACTTTCCCAAAAAAAATGTGTTTGATGATAATATGCAATAATGCCATTACATATAAGTTATAATCTCATATCTTGAATTGGAGTATTGCTGTATAAGCCTCCTTTTTATAAATATAACACCCAAAAAACAAAATGTTGCGAGTAGAGTTTTGAGTGGGCACGCCCCCTTAGAAAAACGTATAGTAGCTAGGTTGAGGTTGCCGTGTAGCTTATGTAGTAAAATTATCCAATAAGAAATGCGAATTCTTGTAAGCAATCTAAAAGCTGTATAGAGCTCAAAAATACAGTCTATGTTTCCTAAACAACGAATCGAGCAACTATATAGAGAGATGGTACTGTGAATTAGCGCATAAAGATTGTGACACTATTTGAGAGTTTTTTATTTAATATCCAAACTTTGCAACTCCTCTCATACACCTTGCTCCATTGTAATCTCTCAATTCTCTATGCGCTCGCACGCATACTCTTGCTTGTCTCAATCATCTAAAACCTATCCTTATGGTTCCGACTTGTAGGTGACTGGCGAATTATCGCCCAGTTATTATGTGAGAGTAGTATTGAGCATGATTGTATTACACCCATTATTGTCGTATAGACCTTTTTGTTTGGTTCCGACTCTTGTGCAATATATTTCCGTATAGGTCATATTAGTGACTCCGGCTAGAGTGACTTTTGAGCTATTAATTTAGCCGTACAGACTATCACAAGGGTTCCGGCTAACATGCTATGTTTCTATGAAATTGTTCTTACCTAAATTGTTTATTCTATTATATCTTGGCATGGCATATATATATGATTATGATTACGTGATACATGAATTGAATTGATATGATTTCATATATATATATATATTTATGTATATGCTTATATCTTGATTCTGGAAAAAATTATACATGTTTTACAGCGAGAGGTTAGATATGTTGATAAATGAAATGGTTTTGTAAAACATTTGTTTTTGCCCACTCACGTTTTCTGTTTTGCGCTCCTCCAAGTTTTAAGTAAGCTTGTTGTTGGTGGCTTGAGGACGTCGGTAGTTCTGATCTACCTAAATAATAGTAGGACATTCCTAGTACTGTATAACTAGTACTTGTCCTACTGCACTGCACCTAGACTTATTATGCTTTAAGTAGGAGTGTTTACTTTGTAACTAACTCCTATCACTTCTTGTTTAGTAGTGCACTCTAGTAATTCGGTTTTTAATTATTCGTATATTTTTTATCTCTATTGCTTCCGTACTATGCATATGGTTACGTCACTCTCACGTGTCGGCCAGCATGCCTTGATCTCGGTCAGGGTATGTCATTTATAATATGAACGGTTCAGATCATAAGTACAAAGTTCTGTAATTCAAACACGAAAAATTTTAAATAAAATTTTGTACACATCCTTGAATAATCAATCATCATTTAAAAAAATAATAAAACAGATAAATGGAGAGGACACAAAGACTGCTAAAATCATTTTCCTTCGTAAAACAAATTTTGTTTTTAATTTGATTACCAGATCTTGAAGAAAATAATAGGTTGGTAATGTTCATGATGTCACGTCCTTCCCATCCACTCATATATTTGTGCACTCCAAAGATGCTTTGTGGACGGCAATGCAGGATCGAAGCTGTAAGCAAATCCATCACAGCAAAGCAACAACATTTACTAGAAACTCAATGGGCCCCATGTCAGATATCCAACAGGTGGCTGAGAATCCCCCATCAGCCAGCCACCATCGAATCTCAGCCCCACCTCCTGCGTTTTCAAAACTTGTGGCCGAGCTCCAATCTTTCAAGCTTTCTCAAAGTTCCACAGAGAGATAGAGAGGAGAGAGAAAGAGAGGAGAGAGAGAGGGTTTGTGTTTTGAGCTAACAAAGTTGACAAGTCCAACGTATTTATTTTATCATATTATCTGTTGCCATTGCTTGTCAAATTTCAGATAGTGTTATATATATTATATACATTTGTGTATTTATATATTCGTTTGTTTATAATTTATACTACTATTATTGTTTTGGCTTCCGGAATCTCCCCTACAAAACCAAACACAACCCACTTTTATCTCTGTCTAAAATTCGAATCCTTTTCCTGTTCTTAGTCCTCCCCATCGTTATTGACTTCACCAAACACACCCAAATCGATCTTGCTGAATTGGGTTCGCTTAAAGTTTCATACTTTTTATGCTTTCTGGATTTCGGATTGGACTGGATTGGATTGAATTGGACTGGATTGGATTGGATTGTGAGCTTTTGTGCTGTGTTATCTTTGCGGACTGGATTGAAGAAATATGAGAGTGGTGGAAGGGATTAGTAATTATGAGAACACTTTGTGATTCCTGTGAAAGCGCAGCCGCAATCGTGTTTTGCGCTGCCGACGAGGCTGCTCTTTGCCGCGCCTGCGACGAGAAGGTATGATTTTTTTACCGTTTGACTGTTAATATTTTTCAAAGTTTTTACAGTGCCCAGTTAGCAGTTTCATAAGTTACAGCAGGAAATCTAGGTAAAAAAGTACCAAGTAATGATGTTTTTAGTTTGCTGGGTGCAAATTGGACCGCATATTATCTGGTTGAATTGTTAGTTGCTCCATGTTTAACTAATGTGAGCTAAGCAGACGTGGGTTAAGTCAGTTGGCCGAGGCAGTCTGCCCGCCTCGTGCCCTCAAGATCAAATCATGCTTAATCGCAAATCTTTTCCGCAAATTAGAATAGTTTAGAATATATGTCCTTTAATGAAAGGGTAAAAAGGTTCCTAGAGTGAAAAACTAGAGGAAGAATTGGAGCTAGAAATATATTAGTGACTGAGTGAGAATGCTTGTCGAAAATCTTTGGATATTGGTTATGGTAAATGCTGGCATTGCTAATTGGTCACAAATTTTGGAATTTACTTTTGTTTTTCATGTTTGTGTAATCTCTGTTCGGCTTGTATTCGAGATGCTTTAGACTGTTGATCGGATGGCAGGTTCATATGTGCAATAAGCTTGCTAGCCGGCATGTTCGCGTTGGTCTTGCAACTCCAAGTGAGGTTCCCCGCTGTGACATTTGTGAAAACGCACCTGGTATGCAGGCCTATTTTTCGATTCTATCTATTCCCTGCTGATAAATGTCTTAATGTTGTTGGAAAGAAAGAAAAGAAACATAACGACGCTCATTCTATCTTCTTGGAAACTACGTGTAGCTTTCTTTTATTGCGAGATAGATGGAAGTTCCCTCTGTTTGCAATGTGATATGATTGTTCATGTTGGAGGCAAAAGAATGCATGGAAGATATCTTGTACTGAGACAAAGAGTTGAGGTGGGTTTGTTGATCCTACTTACTAAGAATCGGATTATTTTATCTTCACGCAAGTGTTGGGGATGACTTAAATGTTTTACACTATTTGGTTGTTCCGTAGTTTCCAGGAGATAAACCTGGTAATAGTGATGACCCAGCTTCCCAACCCATTGATCCAGCTGAGATCAGAAGAGTACAACAACACCATCCACCTAGAATGACAATAGGAGAGAACCCGCAAAATCACCGGGTGTCCCCTATTCGTGCTTCAGATGCCAATGCTGATGGGCATGTAAAGATGGATAATAAGTTGATTGATTTGAACATGAAGCCTCATCGGATGCATGGACAAGCTTCAAACAAAGAGGTACGTGCTTTCATTTTTTAGTACGATCGGCTTGATCCTAGCTCTGTTTTTGTTTTAGCATGTATCTCAACGCTGCAAACGGAACATTCTCACAGTCATATAGAACGGTTCCCATCTGTATTTCACAATAGTTGCTTACTAGGGATAAATTGCAAAAGTTTGTAATGTATGTGCAGCTAAACTAAGAACACAAGCCGGTTTCCTTCATAAGCTAAAAAATTGAAGCCGGAAAGGCAGCTAAATTTGGAACTCGTAAGTTGAGAATTGCCATCGTTACTTGTGTCTAAGAAGAGAGTTTGCATTTTCTATACATCTATTTGTTTGTTGCATTTCACAAGTATATAATAGACATCTTGTACTCAAGTCCGTCTTTCGGACATCATGAAAGCAAGCTGACGTTATTAGAGAAACGATACTTCTGTGTTTTTGTGTCGATTATCAGATTCGGAATGCTCACACTTCAAGTTAGCATTGTTCTACGACCTTGTGCATAACTCCACAGAACACATTCTCTCTATTGATATACTCGAATCACTTTAACTAGATCAGTGCATAACCTGTCGGCTTTTCGTGTTAATCAGGACTAGCATCGGCATATCTGGAATCATCGGCTCTAGCAGATTACGTCGCTAGCGAGTCGCAAGAAGGGTGCTTCCAGTGTACCTTTGTTGTACTGCTGCTTCGTGTAAAACTGTAAAATGGGCATTTGATCTTTATGTAGTTCAGTTGTGCAGAGGAAATAATCGTAAAAAGGTATCCATAACTTTGCTTCAAAAGAAAAACATATTTTTGCAAGTGCTTGTATATGCAAAAACTGAGGACCTTCTTGTTTTTGTAGTTGCACTGAAATTTGAGAATTTTAAAAGTACTTGTTCAATTCTGAGAAAACGGTTTGAATAACATGTTCAACGTAAGTTTTATTCAGCCATCTAGTATGGTCTAATGGTATTCCTCTTCATCTGTAAGTAAGAGGTTTCATCCCATTCTTTTTAGTGGAGATAATATCGTTGTTCAAAAAAAAAAAAACTTTTATTCAGATATTTTTTCGATAGGTTATGGCCTTCAATGGGTTACCGCCTTCTTCTTGGATCAATTTTTTTTGCCTTAGAAATTAATGAGTATTCAAGTAATTTAGTTACAGTTATCATTTTTTAAAACAAAATATTGGATCCAAGAAGGATTGGAGTTGCAACTAAGGCCATTTTGATATTTTGGAAGTCATGTACGAATTTTATAAAGGAGTTTTCTTTAAGATAGTTTTTCAAGGAATTTTTTTTTTTTGGGACAATTTTTAAGATTTTCTTTTAAACAATGGATTCATGCAAAGTTCAACAATAAAAGTTTCGACTTCATCAAGGGTAGCATCTCAATCTAACTAATTGAATAATCTCACTAATTTTAGATTTTATTTTTCTTTAACAGCCCATTTAATTTATGATTTAATAACCATTTATGAGAGAATTACAAAAAGACGCTTGTGTTTGTGGGTAGAAGTACACCTGTTCTTTTTTCTCTTAATGTTGGAGAAAAGTGAAAAACTAATATAATAACTATAGATTCCACTTAATCAATTGTAATATTATATTTGCTTGTTGGAGCAAAATTTCTTTCAAGAAGAAATATCTCCGCAGATATTTAGATCGAACAATACCGGAAGTACTTTTTGCAAATGTATGGTATGAATTGTGTACCTTCGCCCATTGATGTAACCCCATTTACTATCTAAATACCTCCACTCGTGTAAATTTCGTTCCTCTCCACGTCGTAGAAAAGTCTTAAGTTATCCAATCATGCGGATTTAGATCTCATCCAGATTTAAATTGTGGGAATCTTATGGATCTTCACATCCTAACCGTTTATCGTACATTGTACGGTCATAAATCATCTTGAAAAATTTATTTAAAATTAAACACAAATAATATCTAACGATAACTGATTGCACGATGTATAATAAACGATCATAATGTGAGGATCTCCAGCATCCCACAAAGAGAATAAATTTTTCATTGTGACAGAAACACGGATGGTACACCACGTGTTTTTTTTGTAAGTAATGTGAAATTTTATTTTTTAAATTATTAATTTTTTAACACATATATCTCATTATTTATATAATAACACGTGATGTATCATTCCGTATGTCAATCACATTGAAAATCTCTCCGCAAAAAGGATATCCTCACCCCAATTACGCAACCACTATTCCCGTGCGGCATGCATTGAAAAGGACACGTAATTACTCAAGCTCTCTCGAGGTTATGCAACCAATTCTACTTAAGTGCTTATGCAACCAACCATACCCTTATCCTACTTACGACGTCGTTTCTGTAACTACAAAATATTTAGGGTCCCTCATTGGCTGAAACGAGAAAATCAATATTTATATGTAAACTGATCTTTTTTTAAGGAAAATTAACGAAAAATGCTTAAAAACTTTGATTTTTAATCAAAATGATAGAAAGTTGTAGTAAGTGAATAGTATCAGGAGTGACTTTTTAGAGTAAAAATGTCATTTCCGTTAAAAGTGAATAGTATCGGAAGTGTTTCGTTAAAACTTTTTTTTTTATTGGAAATTATATTTATTGGAGGATGAAAATTTTAAAGACTTTCTAACATAAGGGCCTTGCACCGGTGCATCTTTTGAATGCCTTCCACAACGCCTTTGATTGCAACCAACATATAAATTTAGTGGTGTTATTAGTTAGATGTTTGTCCTGTGTTCAAAAATTGATCTATTAATTCAATGGACATTTGTCACTTGAGAATCGGTGACAAGAGGGGACTTGGGAGGCACTCATGTGTAGGGGGCCAACCTTTGGGTGACATTGATCGATATTATCCTAAACCTACATCTTATAATGATTTGTTTAGATATTACTTTTCAATGATTAAAACCGTTTTTAGAGAAAATATTTTTGGATTTTAAAAGCACTTGATGTGCTTTCTGTAAGAATCACCAATATGAGAACCTTTTGGTAACATTTTATAAAAATTGTTTTGTAAAATGAAAATGACAAATAGGATTGTGCATTTTATGATTTGAGAATGCATTTGGTAATTTAATCCGATAACAATTTTTTAGAATGAAAACAATGAAAATACTACCAAATGTAAATATATGTATAGATAAATTTGTGTTTGGTAATAATTAATGGTGGTGGCTATGGGATGGTGGTTAAGAACAAGATTAGTGTTGGTAGAAATGGTGGTTGGCATAGTGGTAGTAGTGGTGACAATAAAGGTGTTAGCAGTGGTGAGATATAGGTGATGACAATAAAGGGGAGGTGGGAACTGATGGAGAGAATGGTTGTGATGGTTATGGTACAGGAGGTTGGAGGTTGTGAAGGTGGTAAAGGATGGTTGTGTTAACAATGGTTGTGATGGATGATTGTGAAAATGGTGGTTGATATGATGGTGGAGGAAATGGTGAAGGTGGTGGTGGCCATGGTGAGGATAATGAAGGTGGAGAATATGGTGATGGTGGTGGGAGGTGGTGGTGATGGACGCAATAGTGGTGGCCGCATCAATGAGACAATGAAGGTGGTGATGGCTATGGTGGCAGGGGTAATAGTGTGGAAAATATGGTGGTTGTGTTAATGGTGGTGGTTGTGATGGTGGCGCTTGTGGCGAGGGTGATGGCTATGGAGAATATAGTAGTGACAATGATGGGTGTGGGAGGTGGTGGTGTAAAAGATGGTGGCGGTGGTGATGATGATGGTAAGATAGTGGTGGTTGTGGCAATGGCGATAACAATGGAGACAACAGTGGTGGCGTGCATGATTTTATTTTTTTTACTCTAACTTTGTTTTATAATGTACCTCTTATTTTCTATTATTTTGAAAAATGTTTTTGAAAAGCATAGGAAATATCAATTTGATATTCTACATAACTTAGAAAAAATATTATTTTCTACATTTTGTTGTAAAATCAGCAATGCGTGTGCAGTGGAATAAATGAAATAAGACACAATATTTACGAGGTTCCTCTACAGTCAATATGACTGGAGTACGTCCTCAGGGCAGCAAGGGTGCTTTCATTTATAATCTGAAATAATAGGAGTATAAAGGTTACTCTCTCTATTCTCTCATCTCTTCTTCCTCTTTTTTCTCTCTTCGTTCCATTTCTCTTCTCTGCCGAGTCTTTCATAACTCCTCTTTCTTTCCTCTGTATGTTTTCATTTTATAGGCAAAATATTATTGTAGTAACACTATTCACTTTACAAACTTTCCTCAAATGAATAGTGAAAATACTGTGTATAAATAGTAACCCAACCGTTTTTCTTCATATGAATAGTAATCCATCTGATTTTTCTTGGGATGAATAGTAACAAACTATTCATGTGGGCCATCCACGTATTATATTACAACACATTGTCATTTTTTGAGTTTATTTTCACAAAACATGAAACTGTTGTAAATATTATGTGGATGGCCCACATGAATAGTTTGTTACTATTTATTCACATTATTTTCACTATTCATTTGTGGAAAATTTGTAAGGTGAATAGTGTCCTCTTTGATTATAAAATGAATGAGAGGAAGAGGAAGAAATGGGTTCACGGGAGAGAAGAAGGAAAAGGAAGAAAGGAAGAAAGGAAGAGAGAGAGAGAGGAAAGAAGAGAGAGAAAGAAGAGGAAGAGAGAATAGAGGATGAGAGGAGATAATAGAGAGAGTTATCTTTGTACTCCTATTATTTCAAATTATAATGAAAGCGCCGCTGCTGCCCCGAGGACGTACTCCAGTCACACTGACTGTAGAGGAACCTCGTAAATTTTGTGTCTTGTTTCATTTATTCCACTGCACCCACAGTCGATTTTACAACACGTTATCAGCACGAGAAGCTCTCATGTCAGTGGAAAGCACAACGCCACAAATCCTGTTCACCTCCTTCAGCTGGAATCTCACAGATAAGAAACAATTTTCATTTCATCTTCAAATCTCAGTACAATTGATTTACTTGAAGCAACTATATATATTGTTGTATGACTGTATATCATCATTTGCAGAAGCAAAAGAGTACATACTCAAAATTCGTAAAGAATTTGACAGCCATGTAAATAGCCTCGGAACTCTAACTTGCGGACCTCGGATTGAAATACTTTCTTCTTGAAAGTTGTTCGTCTGCTCAGTATCTACAACATATCAAAATTTCAGAAAATGTTAACGGTGCGATCGTGGCAGATGTCTGAAATACCAAACCAGTTTCCAATTTCCGCAGAAAACTGGGCAGCCACCTTATGAGTACCAAAACGCCATTTCGATAGCTCAAATCGAAATTGTTTCTTCACGAAAGTTGTTTGGTATCCTCTTATCCATATCATACTAAATTTTGAATTAAAACTAACGGTTAGATCTTCTCATAAGTTGCAGACACTCTTGACTCCAAAACTTATGGGAACCGTTTCGACTTTTTCGAAACTCACCGGAGGAGGAACACCAATTGGAACTAATTGTTACTATTATTTACTGAGTAACCAAAATGACTTCGAACTGTGAAATAATAATAAAAATAAAAGGGATGAAACAAAAGAAGTGGCAGACCAAGAAAATGAAAAAGCAAAACATGAGGACTTAATCATTGCATTTTCTGTTTTGGCATATTTATGTGCATGGTGTTGGTTTAAAGCCCATGTCACAAGTTCTATTAAAGCAATTTATTTATAGTGGGTAGAATTATTACCCTTTGCTTTAAAGCTTTGATATTTATGTGAATGGTGCTGAATCAAAGCCCTTGTCACAAGCTTTATTTACTTTAAAGCAATTTATTTACCATGGACGGTTTTACCGCCTATTGCTTTAAGTTTTGATGGTGCTGAATTAAAGCCCTTGTCACAAACTTTATTTACTTAAATGCAATTTATTCATTATGGCTGGAATTACCGTCTATTG